TCTGACGATGAAGGATCCAAAATATCTTGCAGCTCCTCAATCTGGCCGCAAGCGTTAGCACAAAAGATGGTGAACTGAGGCAAAAATGCTCACCTCATCCCCCAAACTCGCCCACAACCGGTTGCTAACATATCGACTGCGTCCCTCGTCGATAACCAGCCGTCCAAACTCATGTTCCAGGTTTCGCGGCTTAGCAGCCTGCGGATCGGAGTCTAGAACGAACGGACACTTCCCGACAGCCTCGCTCTGCGTCTGAGGTGTTGTCTGCGTAGCTTCTTTGGAAGCCGCGGGTCCATGTTCCTGTTGCAAGGGCGAAGATACAGTGGACAATGGCTCCGCAGCTTTGGGTTTCTTCCCACTGAGATGCTCAATGACTCCCTCAAGTCGTCTCAAACGGGACAAGAGCTCCGCATCATGAGGTCGTTTCGTCTTGCGAGGCGCCCTTCCAGGTGGAGGGAAGACACATTCGATACCTGCCTTGACACAATTGGAACACGGCGTCCTCTTATTACAGCGGACCTTTCTTCTCCGACAAGTCACACAGCTGCGAATGCTGGGAGGTTCATGCGCGGTGTGAGTACCAGGGTTGGTTGCATGGTCGACTGAAGTGCTTTGAGGATATCCAGAGGGGATACTTGACGAAGACTGAGATGAGAGAGGCTGATTTGCAGATGAAATGGATTCGATGGGCGGGAATGACATGACGGAGGGATGGAGAATGGTTGAGATCCGTGCTACATTCCCACCAACGCGGAGAATGAAGTCCTATTCAGATATTGGAAAAATAGAGACTAAGTGAAAGCAAATCATAGGCGAAAATTGATCACAATTTCGAGCTCTCATTGCCATATAAATCTTCTTAGCTATCTGGCTTTTTTTCTTTTTGAGTTGGATCTTCAGTCATCGACTCATAGTGGGGAATTACGATGGCGTTGGTCATTGGCTGCCTGAGGCGCAGTCCAGGCTTCTCATCGATGGTTCCTGGGCTTGTCAGTGGCTGCCAGCCTCGCAACATTATTAATTACCAATGCATGTAAGACATTTCTTTGTGACTGAGAGAAATGATAACCGCGGACCTTCAAAGGATAGATAATTGACTGAATTCTGAAAGCGAGATATGAGCCTGTCCACCTGGACCACAAAGGAGTTTACTATCACTTGATTGCGTAGTAATGTTGATGCCTGAGATAGCTCTAAGTATGTAGATACCTGGGGTAAGCACACTGAAGGACTGACGTCACAGTCAAGCCAACCCACAATCAAACAATCTCAATCAAAATTGAGGTAATTTGATAGTTGATACCTATACGAAACTCGAACCGCACTGCCACAGGATCAGATAAAATGACAACAAGGTTTAGCACAGTCATCGCTGCAAAGTTATCAGATGACTTCTCAATGGACAGTCGGACACGTTGCGCAAATCAAGGCGGCCACCATAGCAACTTCCGTGCACGTGCTAAAACTTCCAGGGTGTCTGATCTTCGACGTTATGAACTTATGAGTCACTGTGACTAGACTTTATGATCTTCTCGGAGAATACCGAATGTCTATCTGCTTCCAGCAATGATATTCTCGTTCTCCAAGAATTAGGTTCAGCGGATCGATTATCAACTGTCAATCCTTCCGGTAACTTCTCGTCTTGTTTCATCTTGCTGCTCATGTGAGGTCTGCGATGTAGGACACTGCCACAGTTATACTCAAATATCGCGTGCTTTATATTGTTCCATGTATATTCCAAATATATACATCAAAGGCCATTCAATATTATACCCATAGTACATTGAAATGACTTCGAGTGCCCCCAATGAGGGTGGTGATGGCTCAAGAAAAAGAAATGCTCACGAAAGTTTCAAAGAGCGTCAGTGCGAGAGTCAACCCAAAAAATTCAACCAGGGGTATGGTGCATATGATGCGAAAGCATAGAATTATATACCAAATGTCTTTTGAAGAGAAATGAAACGCCAGATTATGCAACCCGGGAGATGTAAAAAGTGAGGAATCGAGTGGTCGTTATCATAAACCAAGTGGAAGAAATATACAATATGACGCGTTAGTATGTTCGGTCTCGAGCTTTCGGTAAGCTCATGTTAAACGATACGGAAGCGGCGTAGTTCGCTTGGGGAGATTGATAGATCTTTGCTGTCGTGAAAGTCCTCGTCTGCGTTTCGCTCTGGCGGTCGAGATATTAGCGGGCAATGTGGAATTGTCCAGTCAGCATTAGTACTCACCTAGTCTGTTCCCAGATCTTGGTCTCCTCGTTGAAATGGTGACTGGGGAAATGGTAAGTCAGTTAAGAATCCAAGGGCTGGAGCTTCATGGACGTACCCCTGAAAGTCAACTGTGGTCAACGACTTGGAGCCGTATTCTTCCACAAGAAGATCGGTGTACTTGTAGGGGACTTTAACAGGAAAGTCTTCAAAGTAGCTATTCCGAAGCGGGAAGATATCAGACTCCTAGAAAGCGATAAGCAATCCATCTCGTTGCCCCTGTGTAACTCAGCCACTTACGTCGAATCTGTGGCCATCCTTGCACATGAGAGCGCCTGTGTGACCTTTCTCTCTCAACGAGTCATCCTTGCGCACTGCAGTAATATCAATGAAAAGCCCCGAAGAAGTGTCAATCCATCTCGCGTCAATAACATTCGCTTTGTCCTCAGTGGTTCGAACCACATATTGCGGGTTGATTTCTAGAACGTAGTTTCGCCCGCCGTCGACCCCGGGAAGTTCGAAATGATGCTCGGTCATGTTGTAATATTCGGCGAGGAAGTGTATCGTGGGCTCGGTAATCTGGACGTCGAGGTCATTGTCCCATGGGAAAATCTGAACTCAAGTCAGCTTTATGTTCCCACGTTGCCTGTTTCATAAACCATGGGACCGGTATTCCAACCTTCTGGTTCCACCACCACGCCAGAAGAGTTCCATGCATTATCCAAGTCTCTGCCCCAAGATCCGCCATTGTCGACAGATATGTCTGAATGAGTGCTGCCAAATGTGGTATTGTGTCTTCCTCAGGGAGCGGTTCATCGGCGAATCTGTGAAATCGTCAGGCAAACGTTGAGTCGGAGGACTTCAGACTAGCTCACCGTCCGTCATAGTGATAATGGAAGCTGCGAGGTCAGTCAGCAATCTCGATGAGCAGAATGGTGTCCAATTCCAAATTCCAAAGCATACCTAGATTCCTCTAATGACGCGTTAGCGCTATGACGAAGAAAGAGAACATATATACATATATCCAGCTGGATAAAAGAAAGCATCATGGCAGACGCCCAAGAGGGACACTTACTGAAATATTTCATTCCCGGTTCACCTCCTTTCCCACTGTAATCCTTGAGAAACTTGGCTCTCACACTCATGAAATCGACATTGGAGTCGGCGCTACCGAAAGACACCAGCGCGAGAACTAATCCATGGAGATAGAGAAGGAAAGTCGTTGAGAATAGACGCATAGCGCATACAGGGATGATGGGGTGTCTGATTCGGATTTAACCCCTGAAAGAAAGCATACTCCTAAGCGATGTAAAGGGAAAGTGTGAAGCAAATATCAGTAAATGATGGTGTTGCACTGTTGATACGGAAAAGGGCGGAAGTCTATGACAGTCGACAATGACGACTGCGCAGCGAGACTGATATCAGGAGGGAGGTAGGAAGCGGATATAAGGGCCGCTCAAGGCCCAAGCTGCTTGATTAGAAGAGTGCAGATTATACTAAGGACTGCACCAGAAAGAAAGAATCGTGCAGTGATAAGGAGAAAGGATGAGAATGCAAAGAATCAAGGATCGATAGACCTAATGGCGATGGAGATAGTCTAGTAGTATCTGACTGCGTGACGAGCAATCAAAACTTCATAAGAGACTCTGGGACTATGGTACCTACTAACTAAGCTTAACGATTTCTATCCAGCATAAGTCGCGTGCTCGCTTACCGCAGAATTCAAGGCCCAGTTTCTATTAATTGAAGTGGCGACGATCCCCATAAAAATTCCATGGCACTGTTAAATGATTGAATTTCTAGGCTGTCTCTCCCGAGTACCAGCCCTGCGGCGCCTTGGCAGAAGGCAATGCTGATCGATCATTCGATGGGGATTGGCCTTGAACTGAGACCTTGTGAGGTCAGTGTCATTGTCATGATTCATGAACGAGTATATAACTATTAAAGAACTGCCGATGAGATCTTGTGCTACTCTGTACTCCGTACCAGTCCTACCTACCTATGCTTAGGCTGGTGTTGCAGACTGCAGCACAACTCAGTAGTACATTACTCTACTACAGCCACATCCTCCTTTTTACTCCTATTCTTCCACAGAAATATCCTCTGTAACGTTCTGTTACGAGCATACGTATGTTCCTCTCAGGCAGTCCCGCAATTGGACATCATGGTTAGGATCGCGCGAGATATAGCCTACTGGGTGTATTATCAGTACTATTGATACACCACAATTCGTTCCAATATTCAATGCATAGTGGACTAATTTCTGGGTGATTCGCTGTCTGATTCGATGTTTTCGTTGGGTCGCCGACAAATCGAACGGGGGCCGCGTCACACATGCCGCTTAGTCCCTATCTGGTCCGCCTTTAATCAAGCACCGATTTTTGCTAATGGATGACATAGGTCGAGCTTTGGGTTGCATTCGCTTCATTCAAATTCAACATTACCCTTTTAGATTGTCTTACATTCTGTGTTTTCAGAGTGATAGAATTATGCTTTTGGGTCTCTAAAGAAATACTTCATCATTGGAGACTCGGATGTCTTCTGCTGAAGAAAATGACGGTCTGCCTGTGGCCTGTGGAGCCCAAGACATCACAGGACCACAACTAACTTGAAAAGAGAAAGGAACCAGACAATCAAGATCCAAGCCACAAAAAAGCCTTCTGGTCATCACAACATTCACAAGAGAACGATTTTAGAATTTGAAACATGGCACTGTGTGTTTCCCCATGGCTGATGCGCCATCTCGCACATCACTTGTGCGATTAAAACATATCGTGCAGAGGACGCGAATCAAGCCTCTAGCCTGACTCTAGCCTCCAATAACGTTGTTTGCTCTGTGACAGCTCCGGGCGGCATCCAAGCCTTGACTAATTCAAACCCAGCTTCGTTTAGCAATGATTCGAATTGCGTCTTTGTCCGTTCTGCGGCTGCGAACGAGACCATCATGCTGAGGTCGACCATCGCAGGCAGCAAGGGCACATTGCTTTCAGGCATTAGATTCTCGTCAATAAGCAAGAGCGAGTCCTGGGCCATAGCTTCACGGATTTTGGCCAATATCTGCACGACTTGCTTTTCTGGCCAGTCGTGCAGTACCGCGCGTAAGTAGTATGCCCTTGCGCCCTTGACAGGTTGATCTCGCAGAAAATCATGCTCTTGGACGTCGATCCCAGGATGTAGATCTCTGGCACCTTTGACGACATTGGGCAGATCTTGTAGGACAAGCCTTCCCGGGAGCGTGGGAAATCTTTCTTTTAATAAGACAAGGTCTCTGTCCTGGCCACCGCCTACGTCGACCAGGAGGGCATCAGATGGCCGTTGCACCCGCAATTTCTGTTCAACTGGGAAGAACTCAAACCAACTTTGGCCGCGCCAGCGAACGGAAAGCGTCATGGTTTTGTTGAATGCTTCTTGGTAGTATGGTGCGGTTGACAAAAAGTCAAAGTATCGTGACTTGGTGTTCATGGCGAATTGAAATGGGCCATCATCAATATCAGCAGGGTTTTTCCAGCCTTTCTCCTTGAAATAATCAGGCAATCTGGAAAGAATCATCTGAAAATGCGTGCTATGGCCACCATCAGAGGATATTGCGGGATTTAATTCATGTGACTGCGCTTACAGGTGTATAACTCCAGCTGATAAGGGGAGTCCGACACGTAGGCTGTTGCCAGAGGGGTCGAGCTGAACAGTCCAGCGTCCACCTCCTTGAGCACACCCATGGCAGCTAGAAGTCTGATGATACGTGCTGTCAAATATCATTATTTGCTCGTCGGAGCGCCAACAAATACTGCTGAGGCTCACATACCGACTAGAGCAGGATCGGCTCCTGTATCATCTGCGAGTTGCTGCACGTTGAAATGGCTGCCATCACCTCGAGATGACCTTTTGGCAATAGCGTCGAATAGCTTCATGTCAACACCCAAGCGAAGGGCCATTGCTTGATGGCTCTGGCCTGCATCAGCTTCTCTCCTGAAATACAGGAACTTGAGAACCCACAGAAAATAGGACCCTGAAGGAGGTCTCCAATGGCGTTTCATAAGTACTCCTCAAATCATCGCAAGCCTGCAGCAGCACTTTGCGTTCATGCTCGTCCACATCGCCTGCTCTGACAGTAGCGATGGTAGACCTGACGGTCTGGACGAGTTCATTGACCCCCATTTGTATGATATTGGAATGAAAGTTTTTCGGTGAGAAATCAGAGATGTGTCTCCCAGCACAATGTCAAAGCAACATGCCAGACATCTTCTGAACGCCTCTATAAATAGTTGGGGATTTCATAGCACTCCCGAAGTTCATGAAATAACTCGGCCATATCGGTCCTGGTTTGCCATCTTGCTTCAATAGACCGAACCCGAGTTCTGTCATACGGTCATACACGACATAAGCCGAGTTTGGAAGCTTATCTCCGTAGCTCGGTCATTCTCATGATATGTCCGACATTGGTAGTATGCAAAATATCTGACATGGGACAACCCGCCAATAAGGCTACAGAGAACTTTCTGGACTACTAGTCTGAAGCTCTGGTAGTGCAGAGATAAGCAGGCGACGTCAAGCCTATCTCTGTGAGGCTCCCCCTCGGCAGTGACATGGAGAAGTTGGACTTCAACACTTGCAGTCAAGTCTCCGACTCCTGGAATAATTGAATCATGCTTTGCGCTCACGCTCCTATCATATCCAAGAAAATTAAGGCCATTCTGCTCCCCTTCCAGGGATCAAGGTCATTCATAATTGCCGCCGTTGCACGTTTTATAAGGCCGGAAGAGCTTCACTGAGACCCTGATGTATTGAAGACATCGTTAAGCCTCCTCGAGCCTTGACAATTGAGTACATGAACCACTAGCCTACATCAGCTTATCCTGAATCCTGGAGAGAAGCTGTGCAAGCACGGATAGTTCATCCGTTTGGATTTTGGAGAGTACTTGCCAGATATGGTAATTGGATTGATGCGGACCCCTCCGAAGGGATGTTCCTGATTGGTCATACACGATGTTTAGATTGAGCGTTGCGGGGAGATGAAGGGTATTGATTCGTCAGGTTTCGGGATTCTGGCAAGGGTCTGTGTTTTTTCCATGTGTGCCCAGGTACCTTAGACTTAGAGCCTTCACGTTGGGTGTCTAGGTACCTCACCTCGTGAATTCGACTGCAGATAACAAAGGTAGAACAACAGCCATACAACTATCTAGATAGATAACTGAGAAAATTCCTGCAAGCAAGTGGACTGCAAATCTCAACTGCCCCTTACTTCATCACGCTCGGAAACATTTCAAGAAGCTTATTCTCAGATCGCTGGATACAGATCAAGAACCTTCCAAGTTCTTGATTGTCCATTCTCCACTTCTGAGCCAGCCAAGCGCGGCAGCACCAAAACTCCAAAGTGAGATGCCAGCCCGGAGCGGGTAGTTTACTAGTAGTAACCAACCCATCATGAAGCGGGTGCACTGATAGTCAAATTTAGCTTGATAAATCAGAGAAAAGGGAAGTCGCCAAGTATCTTCCAGTCCTGTGGCTGAAGTCTCACTCACATGATTGAGGCTTGCTGTCTCTTTGGTCCGTCCATATGGGCAGGATTTCTCCTCCAGGATGAGCTCCAATTCTGCTAACGGGTGAGCCAACCAATTGGAAGTTTTCCATCATTGTGCGTCGAATTGAACTCAGAACTCTTTTTGAGCATTTGAAACAGAAGCATTCAGGGACTTCTGGAGACTGAACAATTTCTTTACTCAATCCATTCTTCGAATACTGATCCAAAAATCATATTTCGTCATGCCATATCTGGCGTAGCGATCAAGGCGTTCTCATTGACTTGGATCCCTTGTGGTTCCTTCTCGTGCCACGCTTGCTTGTCCAATATCAGTACGAATATACTGGTCGAGATATGGGGGCTCGACCTGATTGACCCGATATCATTGTCAGCGGCCTCCATCAATTCTTGTATCTGGTGGTCTCATTTTCCCGTACCTGTCACCACAGTTTCTGATAGTCTGACCTGATTTCTACCTTCTGGCACACCCACAGCGGTGGGGTCAGGGGACAATGTCAGCTACCTCCGACGTAATCCCCACGGATGGTGGTCATTCGCAGCAAACGGCCCCGTCGCAGCAATTGAATCGTTCCTGTGAATCATGCCGAGGTCTCAAAGTTCGTTGTATCCCTGATCCAGCCACACCGAATCAATGCCAGCGGTGCACAAAGACGGGAAGGCCTTGTATCTTTGTAGCGCCCCAAAGGCGACGGCCACGAAAGCGAACCGATTCCAGAGTTGCTCAATTGGAGAGGGAAATGCGGCAGATGCGTTCCCTATTGAAGGACCGTTTCCGTGCGGATGACAGCGATGCAGAAAGTGTGGATAGCGAGAACGACGAATCGCCAGAACATGATTCGGGTATCGAATCAAAAGAGAACCTATCCTCAATCCCCGAGGCGCCCAGCAGTGTCTCAACATCAACCAGACATACGGATCAGTCTTCTGGTGTTCCACTGTCTTCATATCCCAACGTTGTCGACAGCAGCTCGGTCTCCGCCCCCTCCTTCACCCCTGGGTTCAGTGGATACTCCCCTGAAATGCCATTAGGAGATGACATTATCGACCGGGGTGTGATTCCCTTGGAATACGCCAATGAGCTCGTGGCGTTCTTCATCAGAGATTTAATCGCCTTCGCCCCGGTCATCGTGCTGCCTCCTGAGACTACCGCGTCGCACCTGCGTCATTCCAGGCCCGTGCTTTTTCTTTCCATCATTGCCGCTGCTGCTATTGCCGTCGATGCAAGCGTCGCGGCCGTTCTTAACCAAGAGCTCGTTCGGCTCTATGCAGAACGATTCTTCATTCATGGCGACAAATCTTTAGAGCTAGTCCAGGCATTGGTGCTCATGACGGTTTTCTACTACCCGCCCAACTCGCCGATGAAATTGCAGCACTTTCAGTACACGCACATTGCAGCTACCATGGCTTTGGAAATTGGTTTGGCCTCTAAGCGTAGAGTATCTCCAAAAGCGAGCGGGAAGAAAGACAAGCGGAATGCGTATGACGAACAAATGGCGGAACAAGCGAGAGCGATACTGGAGTGTTATCATTTGGCTTCTACGTAAGGATCGAGGAGCGCCCGGCGGAAGGGCAAGCTGCTGATACTTGAAACAGTGTCGCAATGAAGACTCGTCGTCCTAACCTGCTCTTGTTCAACGATTGGATGAGTGAATGCGTGAAACACCTAGAAAAATCGCCAAATGTCATAGACCGACATATGGCCACCTGGTTCGAACTCCAAAGGATCGTTGATGAGGCTATGGCTTCCTTCGGCCTCGATGACACAAGTTCCACCACGCCGTTGACAGAATCTCGCGTTCAGGCTGTACTGAGGTGGTTTGACAATCGAATGCAGAATTGGAAGAAGAATACACCAGCGGACATGCTGACAGGTGCGTTTTCCTCCCGGCAATGACTTGGAAGTAGCTAGCTCACTCCTGTCCCCTTCAGTGCCCATGAGCTTCGAGTACCATTACACCAATCTTGCCGTATACGAACTGGCAATCGGAGAAGGTTACCGAGATCCTGATGCGATCAAACAGGAATATTACACGCTTCCGACGCCGGAAGGTGACCGCCGAAATCAACGCGCCAGTGCCCCTCTCAGTGCTATCCGCGTAGATATAACGATCAAGTGGATGAATACAGCTCATGAGATGCTCAATTTCTTCCTCAGTTGCGATATTGAACTCATGCGAAAGCTTCCGAACTTGATATACACACGTGTGGGCGTGGCGTTGATGTCTCTTTTGAAGATATACTTCACCGTGATATCAGGGGCCTTGGGAGAATTTGTGACACCAGAGTCCGTCAAGGTTGAAATGTACCTGAACGCAATGGCAAGGAGACTCACCGAGGCGAGCGGTGGCCAGAAATACAAGATCCCCAGCCGATGGTATTATGTTCTTGCCGTCAAAGCTCGAAACTGGTATGATCGGCTGCTGCAGCGGCAAGCGCAGCGGCAAGCGCAGCGGGAAAGTGGCTTTATGTCTCAAATGGAGGCGGGCCAACCGATGCCTCAGAACCAAATGCCAGCCCAAACTCTTCAGCACTTCGGTCCCGTCAACCCAAGCTGTTCTACAGAGTCACTCGTCGTGGATGCAGGCATCCCCCAAGGCCCTCCATATTCCAACATGGGTAGTGGCTATGGAGCTCCAGTGGCCTTGAACCAGATGTGGCATGTCGACCAAAATTATGCGCCCACATCTCTCAGCTACCAGTATCCGGCATATCAGCCGCCCACTTTGCCATCTCAGTATGGGTACGTGGCACAGCATCCAAGCTTGCCCTCGGAAAACAGCCAAAATCAATCGCAATTACCTCGTAGAACCGGGATGGAACTGGACGGCTGGCTTCCGGATGGGAGTATATTTGGGGCACCCACTTTACCTGGATTTTGATAATTCGGTAACATTCTTCCGGACTGAGCTCTGCCATCCAGCAATTAGTGCATGTCGCGTCAAGTCAAAGGGCTTTCTGACCTCACCATCCTCGAGGTCTTACATACCTCGTGTTAGCCATTTGATTAGAAGACCACGACAGTTCATGAACTATAATTATGACAGTGCCATCACTCCACCGGTCCTCATAGAGGGGAATCCGAAGGATCACTTTTCAGAAAAGAAGAAAAACGAAGACAAGTAGAACGTAGATATTGAACAAGAAATCCTACCGCGGCATTCGGTACGGAAATTTATTCCATGTCAGTCGACCCTCACGGAGCATCGGTGAACACGGAACCTCCGATATGGAGTTGTATCCGATTCGGGCATGTCGTAGAAAACGCCCAGCCCTGAAAATCTGAGGAACCAGCAAATCATCATTCGAACCCCATTAAAACATCGTGGAGCTGTTAGCTGTCAGCTGTCATCTTGGCTCTTATGAAATGGATCTTCTTGAGGATGAAGCGAAATTACGCCCGTCCGGACTCCGGAGTATAGGCCCCTCGCTAAGGTAGGAAGCTGTGGGCGCCATTGAAGTTGGCAGAGCATGAAGATTGGCGGGCTAATATATTCCATCTATCTCCCGAAGCAGACTCCGGCGTTATGTTCGATTCCGAGGTAAAGAAGGTCGTGTGCAGAAATGTATAGGAAGCTTAGTGGTTGTTGGAGTGAGAGTGTGATATCTCATTGTATATATAGGTACCCTGTGCTCTGTACGTAGTAGTCCATATCAGTTATTGCCAGCAGTGTGGATTAACAACTAGCAAGATGAAAATTGCAGTTGATGGAAAATGAATCTGATCTGATTAGATATGCTCTGATCAATTGATCTATGATTCTGTATTGTTTTCTTGCTGATCTGATTTCCTTTTATGACGTGTAATGGCGTAAACCCTCACTGCCTTTCGCCGCTCTGTTTCTTAATGGTACCAAAGACATCGACATTGTAGTCTATATATACCAACGTAAATATCACGAAGAGACACTGAATATATCACTAAGATATCAATTATGTCTGATCTATCCCGCAAAGAACCCTCTACCAGTGAGTTCCCCCTCCCATATCCAAGAACAACCTCTAAGCGATGTCATTCCCAGAGGCTCTCCTAGAAAAAGCCAGGTACCGGTCTGATAGCATCCGCGAGGCCCTCAATGATCCCGAGCAGAACACTACTAGCGCGCAGTTTGACAAGAGCAAATTGCCCTCTGAGCCGGTCTGGGATAAGGGTAGCACGACCAAAGTGGCGGTTGATGCTCCTCCTACGGGGAAGATGTGAGTTTGTTCACCTCTTGTTCTTTTGGTTTTGCCGGTGCGAGATCGATTGGGGTATGTGGTCCAGCAGTTGTTGACTGATGCTGTATCAGGATGGATAAAACGAGGGATCCTGCTGGGGTTAGGTGATTAGCTATTCTGGGTAGATGGCTTGATTGTGAGGTCTTGTTGCGCTCATTTATTCCAACTCGTTCCCATGTATGACCGGATACTTTAACTTAGATCTTGATGTCCTGGTAGTCGAACTTCGATGGTGAACCTGCTTAGTCTGCAGCGAGTGGTAGGGGTAGCCGGACGCAGCTTAGCAGTAGCTTCAACCAACTAGTGGCCTTCTTAGAATGACAGTCATCTCGTGCTTTTCCATGTCAAGCTGTGGAACCTATCAGTGGCAGAATCATGCTCCCAGGATGGGAAAAGCCTGAGCATGCAGTAGATATCAGTTGATGGATCAGATCAATAATCGTAGATTTTGTGAGACGCATCGAGCAAGTTGCCTGTTTTAAAAGAAAAAAATGATTGGAGAATCGTATTTCGTGCCTGAAAATGCTTCCTTAAAGATGGTGTATCCAATGATGAAACTCTCCATCTCCTCTGTTGAAGCTTTTTCCAGGAATAAGGGAGTTATGTACTGTCAGGCTCAGATTAATACCAAAATCATATGTCTATCACATGATTTCTACTGGCAACCTACCCTTTCCTGTATTCTAGACTATAATAAAACTTAGGAAGATCAAGCTACTGAGATAGAATAGACTAAATATATCATTTCTTACTAGTTCTATTATGTATTTATTTATTACTTTAATTAATCCTATTATACTATTTAATCTAACTACTTTTATTAATTTTATCTAGTGCTTATAAGTAGATTCTTCTATAAGAAGACCTTATTAATTCTTCCTATTCTATTAGAGTATATATAAATTACTATCTAGTATAGGTAGTCTAGAGATAATACTAATTAAGAAGGGAGCTAAAGGACTATACCCACCCTAATTAAAGTATATAGACTAATTTAAGTATAAAAATAGCTACTTAGAGTTATATAATAATCTAGAATATAAAGTTAAATATAAATAACCTCTATTACCTACTTACCTCCTTCACCTATTATTTATACCCTAATATATTAGTATTACCTAAGTTACTAATATTTTTAAATAGGTAAGCATCTTCCTAACTTAATTATAATAGACTTCTAGAGAGAAAGTAAGTATATCTATATATCTATTAGATTAGATAGACCTAACTTCTGAAACTAAAAAGGAAATAACTAGCTATTTAAATCTAGGAGTAGAAATCTACTAATCCTAAAATAGTTTTACTAACTAATTAAATTATAGTAGTATTAGTAAATCTATTAGTAAATCTAGAGCTATAGTAAAGGACTTTATTATTAAGCTATTTTATAGAAGATAAGATAGAGTAAAAGACCCTAATAAATACCTTAAAGATATTAAATATATAATTAAGTTAAAATATAGAGTAGGTAATATAGGTCCTAATAGAGACTATAACTATTAAATCCTATTCTACTAAAATCTAAAAGATAAAGCTAAGAAATAGTATAGTAGGCTAGCTAAGACTATAAAAGTAAATTAGAATTAGCTTAAAGACTAATTTACTAACTAATTTAAAGTTAATATTATTAATAAAGCTATAAAATAATTCTAGATTAACTAGTAGATTACTTACCTATACTAATAAACTAATAAACTTATTAATACTTATATTAAGAGATATAAGGAACTTAAAGCCTAAGCTAGGTGTCACGGGCTAGAAGCCGATTCAACCTATAACCTAGGTTTGGACGGTAAGAAATCGCTAAGAGGTTCTAACTGGGGCCGCAGCGGCCGAACACGAAGAGGGGTGTGCGAGGGAGAAACGGGGTCA